TTTTATGTCAATTAATTTGACCTGTTTTAAAACCAGCATCATTTTTTGTCGATCAATTGGATCTGTCTTAGGACCCACATCATTTTCTATTGACAGGTCATTGACCGTTTAGCTGTTTTAAAATCACCCATCATTTTCTATCGACTAATTTGACCTGTTTTATACCCGGCATCATTTTCTGTCGACCAATTGGATTTGTCTTAGGACCCCCATCATTTTTTGTCGATCAATTTGATCTCTTTTAGAAACGGTACCATTTTCTGTTGATTAATTTGGGCTGTTTTAGAATTGTCTTCATTTTATATCGATTAATTTGACCTGTATTAGGACTCCCATCATTTTCTTTCGACTAATTTGACTTGTTTTAGAACCGGCATCATTTTCTCTTTACCATTTGGACCTGTATTTGGACCCCCATCATTTTCTGTCGACTAATTTGGAGCTGTCTTAGGAACCCTATAATTTTTTGTTGATCAATTTGACCTGTTTTAGAACCGACATCATTTTCTGTTGACTAATTTCGCGTCCAAATTTAACAAAACATTTTCTAACATCTAGAATGGAATGTCTTAGGACTAACCGCTTGTGTTAGGACCCCCCACATTTTCTGTTTTAGAATCATCCATCATTTTCTATCGACTAATTTGACCTGTTGTAGAACCGGCATCATTTTCTGTTGACTAATTTGGGCTGTTTTAGAATTGCCTTCATTTTCTATCGACTAATTTGACCTGAATTTGGACTCGTATCATTTTCTTTCGACTAATTTGACCTGTTTTAGAACCGGCGTCATTTTATGTTGACTAATTTGAAGTGTTTTAGAACTGCCTTTATTTTATATCGACTAATTTGATCTGTATTGGGACTCCCATCATTTTCTGTGGACTAGTTTGACCTGTTTTAGAACCAGCATCATTTTCTGTTGACTAATTTGGGCTGTTTTGAAATTGTCTTCATTTTCTGTCGACTAATTTGACCTGTATTGGGACTCCCATCATTTTCTTTCAACTATTTTGACCTTTTTTAGAACCGGCATCATTTTCTGTCAACTAATTTGGCATCTTCTAGAAACGGCATCATTTTCTGTCGACAATTTGGACCTCATCTTAGCACTTCTGTGACTTTTTTTTCGTCGACCCCCTGTTTTAGGACCCCCATCATTCTCTATCGACTAATTTGACCTGTATTAGGACTCCCATCCTTGTCTGTCGGCTAATTTGACCTGTTTTAGACCCGGCATCATTTTCTGTCGATCAATTAGATCTGTCTTAGAACCCCCATCATTTTCTGTCGACCAATTGGACCTGTCTTAGGACCCCCATCATTTTCTATGACTAATTTGACCTTGTATTAGAACTCCCATCATTTTCTGTCAATTAATTTGACCTGTTTTAAAACCACCATCATTTTTTGTCGATCAGTTGGACCTGTCTTAGGACCCCCATCATTTTCTATTAACAGGTCATTGACTGTTTAGCTGTTTTAGAATCGCCCATCATTTTCTATCGACTAATTTGACCTGTATTAGGACTCCGATCGTTGTCTATCGATTAATTTGACCTGTTTTAAACCCGGCATCATTTTCTGTCGACAATTTGGACCTTATCATAGGACTTCTATCATCGACCAATTGGATCTGTCTTAGGACCCCCATCATTTTTTGTCGGTCAATTTGATCTGTTTGAGAAACAGCATCATTTTCTGTTGACTAATTTGGCTTGTTTTAGGACCCCCATCGTTTTTTTGTCGATCAATTTGATCTGTTTTAGAAGCGGTATCATTTTCTGTTAACTAATTTTGGTTGTTTTAAAATTGTCTTCATTTTATATCGACTAATTTGACGCGTATTAGGACTCCCATCATTTTCTTTCGACTAATTTGACTTGTTTTAGAACCGGCATCATTTTCTGTTGACCATTTGGACCTGTTTTAGGACCCCCGTCATTTTCTGTCGACTAGTTTGACCTCTTTTAGAACCGGCATGATTTTCTGTCGACCATTTAGAGCTGTCTTAAGAACCCTATCATTTTTTGTTGATCAATTTGACCTGTTTTGGAACCAGCATCATTTTCTGTCAACTAATTTGGATCTCATCTTAGGACTTATCATTTTTTTTGTCAACCGCCTGTCGTAGGACCCCCATCATTTTCTGTCGACTAATTTCACCTCTTTTAGAACCGGGCATCATTTTCTGTTGACCATTTGGACCTGTCTTAGGACCCCCATCATTTTCTGTCGACTAATTTGACCTCTTTTAGTACCGGCATCATTTTCTGTTGACTAATTTGGGCTGTTTTAGAACTACCTTCATTTTCTGTCGTTTAATTTGACCTGTTTTGGAACGAGCATCATTTTCTGTCAACTAATTCGGCTTCTTCTAGAAACGGCATCATTTTCTGTCGACCATTTGGACCTTATCTTAGGACTTATCATTTTTTTTGTCAACCGCGTGTCTTAGGACTCCCATCATTTATTTTTCGACCACTTGTCTCAGGACCCCCATCATTGTCGAGTACATTGTTCAGAATTTACGGAGTACTTGATTCAGAAGATACAAAATACTGCGTTCAAAATTTAGAAAGTACGCAAGTCCATCGTTCATATAGTACGGGGTTCAAAAGTTGTGAGTACGGCGTTGGTCCACACTGCTAAAATGAAATTATTAATATTAAAATGAGGCTAAACAATAAAGGCGGATTCATAATCATAAATCACATGTATAAAAATACGTTATTTTATTAAATTTAAGTAACATTCACTATACATAATTTTGAAGTACCGTCATTCCATGTGTTTTTTTTTATTCCACATGTATGAAACATCGATAAAACATCGAATTAGCCGTCGGCCGAATGGACTCTTTGACAATACTTCCTAGCTTAGGTTTAGGAAGTAAAAAAACTCTGTACAAAGATTATTTTTTAATATATCTGATTTACATTTTCTATAAAAAATTTTGCTTACATAAATATTCAAAATATAAGATCTTCAGTTTGTCAGTTTAAGAAATGTTAATGAAATAATCTGCAAAACTTTCGTACCGTTTACTTTAGAGTTTTAACATACCTTAAGATTATCATGTCTACAGTTACATAGATACGATATCTCAAAAAAGTGAGGTTATTATAACGAAGGAAACTAAACGACAGATGTTACAAAAAAATACAGTTTCAAGAAATTTCCGTAGTGAACGTTTTTTGTGGTTTATTTTAGATTATGAAACGCGCTAGACAAAAAATATAAGTGCTTTAATAAATATTTCTCGCTAAAAATAACAAATGATAGCAGCGTCCAACTGAATAAACTTGGACGCAGTCGTTTTATTTGTCAGTAATACTTAAACATGATTTAAGGTACGACTTTACAGGACCGATTAATATCCAGAAGTAGATTTTTGACCACGCCATTTCTTAAAGTAGATAGTTTAAATGTTTACTAAAAGTTGTCTAAAAATTGTAAAAGTTAACTACAAATTTCATTTTTGTATAAGAACGCCGATATATTAATAATGAATTAATTAAATAAATTGATTCATTCAATTTACTTTATCGATTGATTGTAGGTGGGCTTCGATGAAATTAAAAAAAATCTTTAATAAAGGTAATATTAATAGAATTTCATATAACTGACATTTCGCTTAAAATGTTTCGAAATTACACCATACTAACTAGATACCATCAACAATAAATGACTCAAACAATTTAGAATTTTTCTCGGAGATTCTAAATTACTATAAATAACTGCATTACGCTACTGAAAGGTAGAGATAAGAAAAACCCGGTGGAATAGCATTCATTTAATCTCCAAATTCAATTAATCTTGATGGAATTTAATAAACTTTCGCAAACTGCATTGCGTAAATTTTTGAAGTGTTATACTTTTATAAATGATTAATTAAAAATGGCATTTTTTCATGTCTTATGTGCTAATCAAATCTGGGACAACAATGCAGTAATAAATTGGTTTATGAAGCTAGAACCACAGTTTTTTTCACGTTAAAATTATACATTACAATTCCTCCACGAATTTAAGCTCTTGAAATAAGGTTAAGAATCGTTTTTTGGTCGTAAAGTTGGCACTTGTTTATGTTGTGTGGTTATTAAACGACTACTATTTGTGCCTACCATGTTTCGCTCACAACCTTTTATTACATTTCTAAAAAAGTATGTTCGTGTTTGTTTAAAAAGAGCGAATCGGACTTTTTTATAAACAAATTTTCAATTATTTTACACTCAGGGGGAAATGTTAATTAAATCAAACGCGTCCAATCCAAACCCAGCTGAAATATTCAACTCTAAAAAATTGTTGCTGTGCATTGTTCTGTATTTATTATTTCGCTCGTTATTTCATTAGTATGTACATGAAGGTTAATTTAATTATAATTTATAAAGACGGTGATTCACACTTGTGTTTGCAATACTATCTTTATGAAGAATCGTCCACACCCCTTTTTAATTATGCGGTGTACAACGTAATAGAAAATCAGTTATTAATGAATTATTCGCGCAGATGTTAAGTACTTTCGCTTCAAACCACACGCATTCCAATTAAATTTTTTTGCTAAAGTTCTCTTCCTGTATATGAATTTGTTTTTGAATTTTAACAAATTCCTACCATTAAACTCCTTACGTACGTAAATATTTACATTTAAGGCGACTACTGACATTGATAAAGTTCAACCGAAACTACTTAAATCGCAATGACGCACTGCATTCGAATTATTTATATCGCACTATACTTAAGCCATTGACTCAAAGCAGCCCTGCATTCATAATATTCGCTTTATTAGACTTACGTGAAGTGGCTATAACAGGTCACATGACTAAGCGTTCCACGTCCGAAACGTGCATGCAACTCCTCCATTAAAATTCCCTCTCGCGCCTGAGCCGACTTACGTCTTGTAAATCGTTCCACCGACCGTAATCGACGCCCGAATCCTAATGACATTTTTTGACAGTCCACTCGATGTAAACAATCATTCATTGACTTTTTTGTTGTAGATGAGTTTCGAACATTTGAAAACCTAATCCCGCCATCTTCATGGACCACCACAACCAGCCGCCTCCTCGCGGAGGTCGGACTGTCACTGCCAAAGATGTGGCTCAAGCCAACGACTACTTCGAGCACTTCCTCAACGCCACCAGTCTCAAGAATATCCTAGGATACTACCGCAGCATCTGTGAACACCTCAATCTCAAGCCCAACCATTTTCCGCTGTTCTATCCGAAGCTGAAGTCGTATCTGACCTCGTGGAGGGCCAAGGCTTTGTGGAAGAAGTTCGACGCGAGGGCTGTGCATAAGTGCTACGGCAAGGGGAAGTTGTGCACGAGTAGCAGGTACGTGGAGGACGACTGCTGGTCACACCGGAGTAATGCGGTTTTGCAGGGTTTTGATCATCGGGGCGGGACCGTGCGGACTGCGGACGGCTATCGAGGCGCAGCTTCTTGGAGCTAAAGTGGTATGTGTGGCATGGGGTGTTTGGGTGTGGTTTGATGGTGTTTTTGAAGGTGGTTGTCGAGAAGAGGGATAGGCTGTCACGGCACAATGTCCTCCACTTGTGGCCTTTCGTGATCGAGGATTTGAGGGCTCTTGGTGCTAAGAAGTTTTTTGGGAAGTTCTGCGCGGGTGCTATAGATCATATTAGTATTAGACAACTGCAATGCATCTTGCTGAAGGTCGTGCTTCTGCTAGGCGTGGAAGTTCACACCGAAGTGAGCTTTGAGAGATTGGTTGAGCCGGATCCCATCGAAAGTAAGTTTGTTCATTGCAATTTAAGATTTAAGTACCTACACTATGATAAGTAAAATGACTCAGTGAGTAGGATCTAAAACACTTTTAATTAATCTTCAGTAACATAAGTGAAAGACAAAAAGACACGCTAAGACCATAGTGTAAAAGCTTAAAGAATAACTAAAATTTGTTTGTTCATATCCAAAAACAATTTGATGACGTCACTTCAAAATTTTGATAAGTAACTCCACATTAATTTTACATAATAATTTGCTTTTACACTGGTGGTTTATTAATCCGCTCTATTTTTGTACATATGTACTTGAATTTTGAAAAAAAAAAAGAAAATTGTACAAAGAAATTGATTAAAACTTGTTTTAAATCTACATGTTTTTCCCTACAATGACATATTTTTGGGAAAAAAATCAAAATTCTGCCATTTATTGTAGAAAATATTAAATTAATTGCCCTGAAATTTAGGCTTGAGGAATTGACAATTATCTGTCTCAAACATTTTCGATGTAAATCCCATTTAAGTTGATACACCGTATCGCAAAAGAAATGAAATTTGCAAAATCACCTTTCATAATTTTTATATGAACTGGAGATGAGGTGCTTCGAAAGCGAGGAAAGTTCTCAAATTTTTTTAAGTAAAATGCACTGTTGATTTTATCTTTTCGAGCGTAAGCCAAGGAAGTGTTGTAACAGCGTCCATGTTTCATGTTTTCTGGACGTTTCATGACCCCTAAAGTACTAAACAATAGGTCTCCCGTTTCCGTCTGTCTATCTGTTTGCCGTCTGTGTCGATTTTCACTTCCCGAGCGTAAGCTAAGTTGGTCTTGTAATCGAGTCCATCGGGTGACTGGTTACTTTCATGTTTTCTCGACGTTCGACGATCCCAAGAGTACGAAAAATGGGGTCCCATTTCCGTCCGTCTTTCTGTCTAAAAATATCAAAATTGAATTAACAGTGTTTCGGTTTTTCGAGTTTTTGATTTCTCGATTCTCAATTTTTCAGTTCTTGAATGTTTCGATTTTTCAGGTTTTCGGTTCTTCAAAAATTAAATTTTTGGATCTTTTAAATTTTCAATTTTTAAATTTTTCGGTTTTTCAATTTTTTTATTTTTAGATTTCTTAATTTTTAGATGTTCCAGTTTTGCGATTTTTCAATTTTTCTTCAACTTTTCCACTTTTCAATTTCGTGATTGTTTACTTTTTCGATTTTTCACTTCTTCCATTAAGATTTGATGTTACGATTTTTCAATTTTTCATTTTATCGAGATTTCAATTGTTCAATTTTCCGATTTTTGGATTTCTCAATTTCTTAACTCTTTATTTATTTATTTTTTAAGTTTTAAAGCCGATTTACGGAAGCTCAATTAAATATATATTTGATTGGGATTAAATTTTTAATTTGGCATTAAAGTACCTCATGACCGACTCTACACCAATCAAATCTCGCTAAACGCCTTGTTAAATATTTCATAAACTGGCCCTAAATTTTTCAGTTTCTAATTTTTCGATTTTGATGTTTCGATTTTTCGATTTCCCAATTTTTCAACAGTTCAAGTTTGGAATTCTTCAATTTTTCAGTTTTCCAATTTTCCGATTTTTTTAAATTGTAGATTTTTCGATTTCTCCTCTTTTTGGTTTTTTAATTTTTCGATTTTTTAAAATTTACGTTATGATTTTCCCGTTTTTCGTTTTTAAGATTTTTTGATGTTCGATTTTACAATTTTTTATTTTTTTAATATTTCTATTTTTCGAATTTTCGAACTCTGGACCTCTCGATTTTTCAATTTATAAAATTTTTGAACTTTTCGATTTTTCTATGTCTAATTTATTCAACATTTCAATTTTGAGAATTTTTCAATTCGTGGATTTTTATTTTCTGATGTTCCGGTTGACCGATCCTACGATTTTTTGGTTTATCTATTTTTCGATTTTAAAATTTTGTTGATTTCTCAATATTCCGATGTTTCAATTATTTAATTTTTTAATTTTTAAATCTCTTAATTTTTAGATGGTTCAATTTTGAGATTTTTCAATTTTTCTTTGATTTTTCGACTTTTCGATTTCTTGATTTTTTTCTTTTTCGAGTTTTCACTTCTTCGATTAAAATTTGATGTTTCGATTTCACGATTTTTCAGTTTTTCGATATATATATTAATTTTTCATTTTTTCGAATTTTTAAATTTTAGATTTTTGGATTTTGATGTTTCCATATCTTGATTTCCCGATTTTTCAATTTTTCGGTTTTTCAACTTTTCGATTTTTTAAATTGTAGATTTTTCGATTTCTCCTTTTTTGCTTTTTTAATTTTTCAATTTTTGCCATACTATTTTCTCATTTTTTTATTTTACGATTTTTTGATGTTTCCATTTACCAATTTAATTTTATAACATTTCTGTTTATATATTTTTCGTATTTTCGATTTCTCGGCCTTTGTATTTTTCGTTTTTTTTAAAATATTTTAATGTCTTGATTTCCCAATTTTTCAACAATTCAATTTTGAGATTCTGCATTTTCTTGATTTTTCATATTTTGATGTTCGATTGTATAATTTTTTATTTTTTTAATACATATTTCGAATTTTCAAACTCTGGATCTCTCGATTTTTCGATTTTTAAAATTTTTCCATTTCTCATTTATTCAACATTTCAGTTTTGAAAATTTTTCAATTTCTGGATTTTTTGATTTTTCGGTTTTAAAAATTTTTGGATTTCCGAATATTCCGATGTTTCAATTTTTTAATTTTTAAATGTTTCAGTTTTGGGATTTTTCAATTTTTCTTCGATTTTTCGACTTTTCGATTTCTTGATTTTTTACTTTTTCGATTTTTCGCTTCTTCGATTAAGATTTGATGTTTTGATTTCTCGATTTTTCAGTTTTTCGATATTTTAATTGATCGATTTTTCAATTTTTTAATTTTTCAAAATTTTCAATTTATCGAGATTTCAATTTTTTATTTCCCGATTTTTGGATTTTTAAATTTTTTAAATTTTCTATTTTTTTAAGTTTAAATGGCGATTTACGAAAGCACAATTAAATATTTCATTGCGATAAAATTTTTAACGTGGCATTAAAGTCCCACATGACTGACTCTGCACCAATCAAATGTTCCCAAATGCTTCGTTAAATAAACTGGCCTTTGGTTTTTCGATTTTGAAGTTTCGATTTTTTGATTTTCCCATTTTTCGATTCCCCAATTTTTCGACAATTTTTGAGATTCTTCAATTTTTCGATTTTTTAAATTGTAGAATTTTCGATTTTTTAAATTGTAGACTTTTGGATTTCTGATTTTTTTGGTTTTTTAATTTTTCGGTTTTTTGAATTTTGCTATACTATATTCTCATTTTTTGATTTTACCATTTTTTTGAGGGTTCGATTTTTTAAATTTTTTAACATTTCGGTTTTTCGATTTTTTGTATTGTGACATTTTTCAATTTCTCGGTTTTTCCTTTTTTTGATTCTTCATTTTTTTGATCTTTTAAAGTTTACTGTACTATATTTTCTTTTTTCAATTTTAAGATTTTTTTGCTGTTCGATTTCATTATTTTTTACTTTTCAATATTTCGATTTTTCAATGTTTCGATTTCCCAATTTTTCGACAATTCAATTTTGAGACTCTTCAAGTTTTCGATTTCTAATTTATTCAACATTTCAGTTTTGAGAATTTTTCAATTTCTGGATTTTTTGATGTTTCGGTTGACCGATCCCCGATGTTTCGGTTTATCATTTTTCGATTTTAAAAAATTTTGGATTTCTGAATATTCCGATGTTTAAATTTTGCAATTTTTCGATTTTTTGACTTTTCGATTTCTTGATCTTTTACTTTTTCGATTTTTGGCTTCTTCGATTAAGATTTGATGTTTTGATTTCTCGATTTTTCAGTTTTACGATATTTTAATTTTTCGATTTTTCTATTTTTTAATTTTCCGAATTTTTAAACTTTAAATTTTCCATTTTTTCATTTTTCGTTTTTTAATTTTTTCAATTTATCGAGATTTCAATTTTTTATTTTTTTAAGTTTAAATGGGGATTTACGAAAGTACAATTAAATATTTCATTGCGATTAAATTTTTAACGTGGCATTAAAGTACCACATGACCGACTCTGCACCAATCAAATGTCCCCAAATGCCTCGTTAAATAAACTGGCCCTTGGTTTTTCGATTTTTTAAATTGTAGATTTTTCTGGTATCTGCTTTTTTTGGTTTTTTAATTTTTTCGATTGTTTAAATTTTGCCATACTGTTTTCTCCTTTTATGATTGTACGATTTTTTAATGTTTCAATTTACCAATTTTTAAATTTTTTTAAATTTCAGTTTTTCGGTATTTCGTATTTTCGATTTCTCGGCCCCTCGATTTTTCGTTTTTTTTTTTTAATTTTTCGATTTTTCAATGTTTCGATTTCCCAATTTTTCGACAATTAATTTTTGAGTTTCTTCAATGTTTCAGTTTTTCAATTTTTCGATTTTTTAGATTGTAGATTTTTCGATTTCTGCTTTGGTTTTTTAATTTCTCAATTTTTTTAATTTTACCATACTATTTTCTCATTTTTTGATTTTACGATTTTTTAATGTTTCGATTTATTAATTTTAAAAATTTTTAACATTTCAGTTTTTCGGTTTTCGTATTTTCGATTTCACGGTCCCTCTCGATTTTCCATTTTTTTTAATTTTTCGATTTTTTTATGTTTTGATTCCCCAATTTTTCGACAATTAATTTTTGAGATTCTTCAATTTTTCGATTTTTTAAGTTGTAGATTTTTTAGTTTCTGCTTTTTTTGGGTTTTTAATTTTTCGATTTTTTTAAATTTTGCTATACTATTTTGTATTTTCTCATTTTTGAATTTTACGATTTTTTTGATGTTTCTATTTACCAATTTTTTGTATTTTCGATTTCTCGGCCTCTATTTTTCGTTTTTTGAAATTTTTCGATTTTTCAATGTTTCGATTTCCCAATTTTTCCACAATTCAATTTTGAGATTTTTCATTTTTTTGATTCTTCAATACGATTTTTTTGCTGTTCGATTTCATTATTTTTTATTTTTTCAATATTTCGATTTTTCAATGTTTCGATTTCCCAATTTTTCGACAATTCAATTTTGAGATTCTTCAGTTTCTCGATTTTCCATTTTTTTGATTCAATTTTTTATTTTTTTAACATTTCAATTTTTCGATTTCTCATTTATTCAACATTTCAATTTTGAGAATTTTTTTAATTTCTGGATTTTTCGGTTTATTTATTTTTCGATTTTATTTTTTTTATTTCTCAATATTCCGATGTATCAATTTTTCAAATGGCTCATCCCTCCCCGCGTTTTATTTACGCCACTGGTTTTTACTAACTTATCAGAAAAAATTTGCAAAAAATATTTGGAAGAAGCGGGATTTATTTTATATTATTAAATAATAAATTTTTTATTACACATAATCTCCGAAACTACTGGGCCGGGTAAAACGCTAACCAAAATTTGCCTAATCATCTTTATCGACAATGTGATGACATCCCATCAAAATTGTTCATACGTAGGTTTTAAATTTTATAAAAAATAACATACTCGTGTACTTGTTGTTTATGAATCGGTCTTGAGATTTTCCCCGAGGCATTCAAATTTTCCCCAAACAAAAAACAACTTGTGCAGCAACCTTTTATTCTAACATAAGCGTACAAGATTATTCGGTAGCTTATCGCGTAAAATGTTCACCTTCGGATTTGTAACGCAAAATGCGCGCACGTTCGAATGGAGTGTGTTGTTTCTTACACTGTTACTGCTATTATCTATATTTTTTTGTTGATCAAATCTCAAGAAAGCCACACCCCAGTGTTTTATTATTTATACATATTGCCCTGCACGTGTCGGAATTGACATAAGTGTCCTTGTTTCAAATAGAAAAATTCATTAAAAATACAAAATAAAAAACAAGTTAATAGTGTTTTTCGTAACATAATCATGGACAGTGGTAGAGTTTCGATGATTAAAGTATGATACATGAATCTCTAAAAATAGATGGTGTAGTTAATGTGTATAACTGAACGTTTGTTGTTTAACCATAATTTAGAAATGTAAAAGCAACCATGGTGCACGATATTTGTTCAGCTGTGCATATCCAGCTGCAACTAGCGACTTTCTCGTGTAATTCTGTTGTAAGCGATCATTGTTACCAAATTTAGGATATTTTACCTAAATCTGACGTTTAAAACTATACAATATTAATACTTTGTTCGAAATAGTTTTGTGTTATTCTTCATGTGTGATATTGATAGTTGTCAGGTGTCTTATTAAAGTCAGTTTATTATTTTCATTAGCTTATTTTCTCTGAGACATTAAGTAATTGAGTTGTTACAGTTATTATTCAGTGTTAAATAGACGTTGTCAGCTCGTAATAGCCCCATTATTCCTTCAAAATTGAAGTATACACGCAATTAATCAAAACACGGCGAAAATTTGAATATCGTGTTCCCCTGAAAATAGAACACTGGATTTTTTTTCGTAATTACAAAATTACACTTATTTCAATTACTTTCAGTGAGGTAATATATTTTGAATTTTATATTTTGGACAAATTAGCATCTAATTCCTCAAAAGGAACTAAATTTATTTTTGTTGGGTACCACTGGTAAATAATATATGAATATCGGAAGCAATAAAGCTAGCTGGAACTCTGATATAATGAATTACAAACACAGACATCGATTATTATAATAGATGGCTACGAAAGTGCTTGTGTTTAACTGGTTGCATAACAACATAATTTCCAGGCGTCGATTTTTTTATTTTCTACATAAAATCTTTTAAAAAGACATACAAAGAACTATTATTTTATTACTACAAATTATTCAACTAGTGGAAAAAACCAAAAACCTTTAAAATATGTAAAATTATGAACAAATACTGAATTAGTTAGTCTCAGACGTGAAGAGGTCAATGTAAATACCACAGGCTAATGAGCGTGTCAGGTTTTACGTTTCCGCTAAAGTAATCGGTTCGTTAGTTAGCAAACCAAGTAAAAGAAACTGTTTTAAAAAAGTAAATTTACTCTACTCCTCTACAAAAAGTTTCACGTTTCAGCCAAAACAAAATTAAGAAGTGACTAGAAAAAAATATTAGAAGCAGTCGAAAAAAAAGTCATATAGTACTCATTTCTCATTCGTGTGAATTGTGGCGTTCGCTTTCGGCTCATAAAATTTTCATACTCGCGATAAATGGGCCCAACTCGTACGATATCTCACTCAAGCCTTGAATGTATTTTTCACAAACACATAACTAAAACAACGAAAAAACCTACTTCGAGAAGGTTCTTCCAGTAAAATGATCGCCGTGTTCAATCAAAATACAACAATATATATTTTTCACGATTTCTAGAAACTGGTTGGAAGGCCGAATTCAAACCGTCCACTCACCCAGTCTCCCAGTTCGAGTTCGACGTAGTCATAGGCGCCGACGGCAAGCGCAACACCCTCCAGGGCTTCAAACGAAAAGAATTCCGCGGCAAGCTAGCCATAGCCATCACGGCCAACTTCATCAACAAAAGAACGGAAGCGGAAGCCCGCGTCGAAGAAATCAGCGGCGTAGCTTTCATTTTCAACCAGAAGTTCTTCAAAGAATTGTACGAAGCGACTGGAATTGATCTCGAGAATATAGTTTATTATAAGGACGAAACCCATTACTTCGTTATGACAGCTAAAAAACCTAGTCTTATAGAAAAGGGCGTTATCAAGCAGGATCTGGCCGACACGGAACGCCTCCTTTCCCTTGAGAACGTCAACAGGGAAGCGTTGATGGATTACGCCATAGAGGCTGCCAACTTCAGCACGCACTACCAGATGCCGGATTTGGAATTCGCGGTCAACCATTACGGACAACCCGACGTGGCCATGTTCGATTTCACGTCGATGTACGCCGCTGAGAACGCGTCGAAGGTGTTGGAGAGGAACGGGGATAAGCTGTTGATGATTTTGGTCGGCGATAGTCTCCTGGAGCCCTTTTGGCCCACCGGGTCGGGTTGCGCCCGCGGCTTCCTGTCGTCTCTGGACGCGGCGTGGGCCATCAGGAGCTGGTGCTCCGGCACCATGACCCCTCTCGACGTGCTAGCCGAGCGCGAGTCCATCTATCGCCTCCTCGGCCAGACCACGCCCGACAACCTCAACAAAGAGTGGAAGTCGTACACTTTGGAGCCGGCCACCAGGTACCCCAACTTGAACAAGAACATGGTGATGCCGCTGCAAACCGTCGGGCTGTTCGACAGCGACGACCCGAAGAGCGTGGAGAAGTTGAGGAGGAATTCGCTGGATGTCGCTCCGGTCGAAGTCCCGAAGAAGAGGAGGCGAGGAAACGTGGACAACGAAGTGTTGCTCAGCTGGATCGGCGAACAAGTTCGCGAACACGGTGATATCGAGCTCTCTGATATTGCGTCTGTGTTCAAGGACGGGAAGGTGTTGTGCGCCATTTTGAATCACTACAGGCCTGATTTGGTGGATTATGGGGCCGTGAAAGGGGAGGGGCCGGCGAAGATGAACCAATTAGCGATTGATATTTTTGAGCGGGAAATAGGTGAGTTCAAATATTTCTTAATCAATTTTGTTATAAACTTGAGAATTTTATTGAAGGTATTTCACCCATAATGACTGGTGAAGAAATCACAACTACCTCGGATTACTTAGCAATGGCGACTTATTTGACGCAAGTATACGATAGTTTCCGCTGCGAAATACCTCACATCAAGCATCCAAAACTGGTAAGTCCCTTAACAACACAGAATATAAAAGATTCTTCAAACCTTCCGTTGGATGTAACTCCTTTGACACGTCCAAGATTCATAAGATGTGTTCCCTGTCTTCCTCTTAAACCCCATCCGCCACCAATAGATTTCAAAAGTTCCTCAAGATGCGTTACGTTTGACACGATCCCTGAAGAAATAACAATAAGTTCGGACAAGTCCTTTTCGGAAAGGTCTCAGCTGTTGGACGAAAGCGTCCCCAACAGTCGATGTGATGACCCTACTACATCGATGGTCAACGTGACTGCGGAAAAACAAAAGACATCGAATAAAGTCGTCGATGTGAAGTTTGTGAATGCTCGTGAGTCCGAAAGTATAAAAAGGTAAATTTGCCGCTGCGAAAAAAGTGGGTTCGAAGTAATTTTTGTACATTATTGGCATAAAATTAAAATAATCTTGGACCAAGTATGAAATATTGCAGAACACCAAGCTATGACGTTCTGATTTTGTAACATTTTAATAGAATCGACTGTATCAATAACTAAAGTGCTGTATCGATTTTTTGTGTAACAAAAGGTCAGACAGGTTGGATTACGTAGTCATTTAGACTTAAATACTGAAAATCCTCGCTCAGCGAAACAGTCGACCACAACGCGTTTTGGTTTCATTCACTAATGTTTTCGGTCTTTAAGCGTAAAACATACAACGCTTTGGTGGTTAAGAGAAGCAGCGAGTTTGTCTAATTGGCGTATAAATTATTTGCGTTAGGCGACTGCGAAACTTTTGGAATGACGTCATCAAATCGTTAGATAAATTTGAGTTAGCATTTTATCACCTGCACGATATTCATAACGTATGTTCTTTGTACATCTAAAATTTGAAAACAATCGGTCCAGTAGTTAGTTATCTAATAAAAATCGACGCAGGTAGACACGTCTGATAAATTATTATAGGCCACCAATCAAAACCTAAGTGACAAATTATGGTGACACAATGTTTTTCAATTTCAATAGTACTTGCTAAGATAAGACTGATTGTGGCAAATTACATACCCCCTAAGAAAATAGAGGGCGGGTGGGCGGAGCTAGTATTTGTTAAAATAAGATTGATTTTGGTAAATTACTGAACAATATTAAGAGCAATCACTGGAATGAAGAGGGGGTGGGTGGGCGGGGCTATTGCTTGCTTATAAAAGATTCTATTTGAAAAAATTCAACTTAGCCCCGCCCACCCACCCCTTCTCTTATTTTTTCTACAGAAATAAGAAATAAATGTTATAGCAAATAAGTAGTATAATAAAAAAATACGATTAACGCTTTTTTTAACAGCAAACGTTCTATCAGTTCCATTCTCACTTTACAAAAGAATATACAAATTATGGTGACACAATGTTCTTCAATTTCAATAGTACTTGCTAAGATAAGACTGATTGTGGCAAATTACATACCCCCTAAGAAAATAAAGGGCGGGTGGACGGAGTTAGTATTTGTTAAAATAAGATTGATTTTGGTAAATTAATGAGCAATATTAAGAGGAATCACTAGAATGAAGAGGGGGTGGGTGGGCGGGGCTATTGCTTGCTTATAAAAGATTCTATATGAAAAAATTTAACTTGACCCCCACCCACCCACCCGTTCTCTCATTTTTTCTTCAGAAATAAAAAATAAATGTTATAGCAAATAAGTAGTATAACAAAAAAAAATACGATTAACGCTTTTTTTAACAGTCAAGGTTCTATCAGTTCCATTCTCACTTTACAAAAGAACATACAATTCATACCGCCCACCCACTCCGCTTCTGTTTCAGTGATTCAATTTGTCTAATCCGTATGAAAGGTGGATCTCATTTGAAGAGAGATAAAATCTCGTGTGTCGGCGGGGTTAGTATCTGTTACGATAAGATTGATTTTGATAAATGACATATCCTCTAAGAAAATAAAGGGTGGGTGGGAGGGAGTAGTATTTGCTAAGATAAGACTGATTGTGGCAAACAACATACCCTCTAAAAAATAGAGGGCGGGTGGGCGGGCCTAGTACTTGTTAAGATAAGATTGATTTTGGTAAATGACATATTTTCTAAGAAAAAAAGGGGTGGGTGGGCGGGGCTAAAACTTGCTAAGCTAGGTCTAAACAATATTAAGAGTAGTCACTGGAATGACGAAGGGGTGGGTGGGGGGACTACTGCTTGCTCATAAAACTAGAAAAATGCTAAATTTAGCCGCCCACCTCACCTCGTTTCTCCATTTCACTGAGATTTTATTTAGTGTAAAATGGAAATTAAAAAATAACTGTATTTTATTTCCAAAATTTGCTCGGAAAATAGAGTGAGCCGTTCCTGATTTAATCAATAAAATAAATTGACACATTCATTAATTTTTTAGCCACCTGTTTAAGCAAATCAAAAAAATATGAATGCAATAAATCATAAGTAAAAGCTCATCACATTTTGCACATTTTGGGTAGAATTTGTTCGGCACAATTTTGAGATGACGTCATCAATTTTTTGGGGGAAATAAACAGATATATTTTGATTGAAAATTTACCATGCTTACAATAACTTTCGTATCCGTCTGTCTGCCGTCCAACCGCGTCTGTGCCCGTTTATATTAGACAGATCATTTTCTAAACTACCGGACCGATTGTTGTCAAATTTTGTATTAAGTATATGTATTAGGAATATTGTGTAGATGGACCTTGGGCATTCAGATTTTTGAAAAAAAAAAATCAAAATTGTATGACAACACTTCACAAATTAATTTTGAAATTGCAAATTCGAATGCTCTGAAACTTTACAAACGTTTTAAAATTTGTATATGGAAAAACTCACTAAAAACATGCATACGATGCATAGGGATTATTATCATCAAAAAAAAAAAATCAAAATTAAATTTGATAAATTTTTCAAAGCTGTATTTGTTGGACAGTACTTTAGGGGCGAGGAAATTCCGTGGAAATAACCTTCGATCAATTTCTTTCAAAAACTTCAGTAAATTGCAGGTTAAGCAGTTGTATTCCGTACCAACTTCGGACAGTGATATCAATTGCTAGAAATCAAAATTTTATTCTAAAATATTGAAATTCTGTAAACGTCATTGTTTTTAGCTTGAAAGTGGAAACTTAATTTAGTTAGTACATTGTGCAACATAGACTTTTTTAACGGATTTTGATGAATCATTAAGTTACTAATACAACAACCTAAACCACTTGTATGTGTTGTACTAGTTTTAACTGTAAGTACAAATTATCTAAAAGGATTAGCTGTCGTGGAAACAGAAGTTACCCTGCAATTACCCTACGGGTGTTAAATGTTAAAATCAGAAATCTTGGACTACTACAATATATTTATACTGTATGTAGAAAATGGTTGAATTTTTTGAATTCTGGAAAACATTTATTAAGAAAATTGGGTCGGCAATACCTAGAGGTATATCTGACCAGCTTGCAGTCCAGATTTAACACCATTAGACTTTTTTGTATAAATTGGCTGCTCTTTAGCAAGTAATACGTTCGAAAATATGGTTAATTAAGTTTTTGAAACAGTTCTTGATAATTGTTTGTAAAATAAAGTGGTGGCACTAAATTAACCTTGACCCTTCAAACTAAAAACAACGCTGTTTACAGAATGTCAATCAATACCTTCCCGTTTTTAAGAAATAAGGAAACTGGACACCTGCATATAAAAAATACATATGTATACGAAATTAAAAAGTATTGTAATCGAGTCCGTCGGCTGACTCTCTATTTTTACGTTTTCTCGGCCTTTCATGGCCCCTACAGGACGAAGAAATACGTCTTCCGTTTCCGTCTGTCTGTCTGTCCGTCTGTCTATCTGACCGTCTGTTCATCTGTCTGCCGTCCCGATTTTCATTAGACAGATAATCTCCGATTGTTGTCAAATTTTGTGTTTATATTAGGAATATCATGTAGATGGTAAAACGCTGAGCAAAATTTGTCTAATCATCCCCACCAATAATGTGATGACGTCACTTTACACAGTTTTAAATTGTATAAAATAACAGTTCTACACATGCAGTTTATGACTTATTTACCCAAAAGGTTCAAATTTTCGGAAAAAAAAATCAAAAATATAAAACAAATTTTTTCCCCTTTTGAGTATACATTATTTATTTATTTTTATTTTTGTTTACTTATTTTCTTTATTTGTTATTTTTTTTTGATACTCAATAAAGTTATTATTATTATTATTTTGCAATTTAATTTTGAATCTGCTTAATCAATTGTTTGAAATCTTGCAAATGTTTTAAAATATAATTGTTCATCCCCCCTAAAAAATTGATGACGTCACCCCAAAATTTTGCTGAATAAATCCTATCTAAAACGTACAAAATATGATGGGTCTGTACCTGTGATTTATCATTCCATTCATATTTTTTGGATTTGCATATTGAAAACTTAGAGATGTTTTAATGTTATCATAGGCATGGTAAATTTTTGATCAAAATCATCCCCCTGAAAATTTGATGACGCTGCCCCAAAATTAAATGTACAAAGTATGATGAGTGTATACTTCGTGATCTAACGCTGCATTAATATTTTTTAGATTTGCTTATACGCGGTGTCTGAAAAAAATTAATGACTGAGTCAATTTATTTTATTAATTAAATCAAGAATTGCAAAACTGATTATGTACTTTGAAGTCTTGACGTTGTGAAGTTATTGTAATTTTTTAGTCTAAATGTACAACTTTCGACCAATTTTTTGATTTATGGATTGATCAATTTTTGGGTTTTGGAATTTTTGAATTTTTCGATTATTAAATTTTCCGATATTTCATTTTTACGTTTTTTCAATTTCTGGATTTTGAAATTTTACGATTGTTTAATATTTCAGTGTTTGGTGTTTCTAAATTTTCTAATTTTTTATCAATCGATTTTTTCATTTTTCGACTTTTCGATTCCTCGATTTTACGACCTCTCGACTTTTCGACTATTAGATGTTTTGATTTTTCGATATTTTAAATTTCCCATTTCTCGATTGCTCAATTTTTCCGTGTTTCGG